TCCCGTTCTGATTTAGTGCTTGAGCAGGAGATGCGAAGAATTTGAGCACAGTTGTTATGTACATGTATTAAACACACGTGCATACATACATACATACATACATACATACATACATTGACATACATTGACATACATACCAACATGTGTATGTGTATGTATGGGTGTGCGTGCATGTGTGTGTGTATATATATATATATTCGTAATGTAGGAGTGTTTAGTGCATACACAAGACTAAGAGGCAGTCAATACAGTTTATGGCCCGTCTGGTGTCAGAGCCAAGGCTCGTTGTTTGGTGAACACTTCAGCACTACGGGTTGGATACTGCCCCCACCTTGGGACCAAATGACCCTTATAAGTAGGGGCCGTGTCCCCTTATACTATGAATCCCTATATGGTATATGACCCTTAAACCCTTTTGGGGCTCATTTCGTCCTTAAGGCACTCAGTAACGTTTGAATAATAAAAGAAACAGGATCAGAGCCCTCGGCCTCGGGATTAGAAACCTGAGGGTCCGGGATTAAGTTTGGATTTGGGGTTCAGGGTCTCGGGTTTAGAGGGTTTTGGGTTTCGGGTTTAGGGTTTAGGGTTTGGGGAGGTTTGGGGATCTGGGGTCGTGAGTTTTGGGTTTAGGGGTTTAGGGGCTTGAGTTTTATTGGGGCAGTCCGTGCTTTGGGGTGGCTTTGCTAGCAACCCGCTCACCATGGCGTTCCTCTTCCATGCAGCGGCAAATGTGCTGTATGTCCCACATCACAAAACCCTAAACCACGAAATCCGAGACCCTTATCATATATATATATATATATATTTATTTATTTATTTATTTTATGTATTTATTTATTTATGTATGAAGACCTTAAACCCGACGAGCCCCGAAACATTGCAGAGTATGTTTATAGGAGTTTCAGTCATACTTAACAAGATAGTTGCATACATCAACCGTTGCAACTCGAAATCAACGATCTACGAGCAAATTGGAAGCCAGCCTTCAATGAGAGTCTAAACTCCACCCTAAACCCCAAAATCTAGGCTGGTGCACTCTGTAAATGTGCGATACTGTCCATATTCTCAAAGAATGCAGCGGAAACCCGAAACCCTACACCCCAAACCCCTAAACCCGTAAACGCAAAGCCAGCATACCGAAACCAGGCGCTTATCATGTGCCTATGCAGCGCTTCTCCGCCCATGCTGGCAAGACCACCTGGGCCTCAATCGAAGCTCGGCAGATGGTAACATGTAGAAGAAAAGTTAGTAAACTTTTCCGAGTTTAATTGTAGTATATTGTACCCCAAACCCTGTTTAAGGTCTGTAGCGGTTCCGGGCTTCGGGATTCCGGGTTCAGGGTTTAGGTTTGAGGTCACATGGGTCCAGGGTTTCAGGGTTTAGTTTAGGATTGTGATTTACTGGTCCAGGTGGAGGGCTGAGGGGTTTCAGGGCTGTCACAGGGAGCCCTCGACGAGATGCGTTCTATCACTCAATCCCAGTGACCCTTATGTCGAGGCACATGCCTCTTTGCCCAATGGTTGGTGACTAGTTGCGGTATAATTGGCCTAATCCAAGTCCCAAAGATAGTTGCCTTTGTAACATGAAAATTTCTAAAAGAAAGTATCAGATACAAGGCCCCCGGATAATGGAGTCTTTCAGGTAGAGTCACCCTACCAAAAGGAAAGGACCAGCAATCTGAGAAGCCCCCAAATGCATGCTACTTTGACACACCATCAAGCGTTGCATCTTCTGGTTGAAGTCCTGCGAAGCCAGCGGAGCTTTAGCGATTTCACGCGGGCCACAGGGGCTAGCTTGGGCCTCATCTTCCAGTTGACTTCATGGTCTTGGCTGAGGCCTACAAAGAGTATAGATACCTTGTTTGGCCTTTGGTGACAACCCGAAAAGCGCCCCAGCAATAGCTTAGACCCAAATCCTCAAATCGCAGACCCTGCAAGACCGCTTAGTCAAGTCGCTCTAAACACAAGGTCGAGTTCAAGACCTTGGTGCGCGAGCTCCACAGAAACGGCATCGAGGCACCCCGGAGTCCGGTGACATGGTTCACAGCCACGGTTTAGGGTTTAGGGTTTAGGGTTTAGCCTCAGGTTGTTAAGCTTCATCTTGGTTTCCGAGACGTTGGAAAGGGTTACCCCAAACCCTACACCCTGAATCCTAAACCCTAATGGGGTTGACCGTTAATGTTGTAAGTTTTAGGAGGCCCCATCCGTCCCAAGATCTGTACTGTAAACATATTTTACATATACATACAGATCATAAAAGCGTGCATGTGCATGGCATGGCATGGCATGTAGGTATGTAGGTATGTAGCCTTGGAGCCCGATCGCAGGTCGTGCTCGACGTAGTCTTCAACCACACGGGAGAAGGGGCCTGGGGTCAGCCAGCCAGTCTTTCTTTTGTTGTAGGACGGGGGGGGGGGCGAGGGTGAGGGTTCGGGTTTCGGATTTCGGGTTCTTTGAGGGTTGTAGGTTTCGTTTTTGTGTGGTGGCTGTTTGGTCTTGAGGGGTCTCGGAATGTGGGCTTGGCCTTTAGAACTCTGCTGGTGGGGGGCTGGGGTTACGGTGGATTCGGGCCTTGTCTCTCCCGAGGGCTCAGTACCTAAAGGGTGGATACCCTCCCAAATCACAAGAATAATGATTCCCAATATAGAATCCCTACATTCTCCAAAATTACGCTAAACCCTAAACCCTAGACCCCCAGCCCCAAGACCCTAAACATATAGGTACTTAGGACCCATTTGGGTCTAGAGAGTGAGGTGGGGTTTTTGCAAGCGGAGAATCACTCAGCAAGGCTTCCGGTTTAGGGTTTGGGGTTTAGGGTTTGGGGTTTAGGGTTGTGGGGTTTAGGGTTTAGGGGTTTAGGGTTTAGGGTCACCATTGCCTCGTGACGTCGGGAGAAGCCTCCCCTAAGCCGGACAAGTAGACGAGTAAATGCCTTCTTCGGCCCTCGGCCCTGAACAGCTGTAACCCCTAAACCCTAAATTCTAGACCCTAAACCCTAAATTCTGGACCCTGAGCCATTTGACCGGACCCTTCAACACATAAGACACTGAACCCGCAGTCCTACAGACAATAGACCTTGCAAGCTCAGAGTTTAGGGTTTAGGGTTTAGGGGTTTAGGGGTATAGGGTTTAGGGTTTAGGGTTCAGGGTTCAGGGCTTCGGGTCTAGGGTTCAGGGTTTAGGAAGTGTCGGGTTTAGGATCACCCCCCAAAAACCCAAAACCTAAGCCGAAGACTGTCCCTGAGAGCCCCTAGGCATGAAATTTCAGCCTGGTTTAGGGTTTAGGGATTTTTGGGTTTAGGGTTTAGGGATTTTAGGGATTTTAGGGTTTAGGGTTTAGGAATTTTAGGGCTTAGGGTTTAGGGTTTAAACTTTTGAATTCCAGATCCTTCCACCCCTCAAGTATTTGTAAGCAAAACCCCAAAGAAACCCAACATAGCCAAAAGTTCCCGGAACCCATATTTCATATCTATACTGCTACCGCACTCATCAGTCGTAACGGTGAGTAACAAAATCTAGAATCTAAACCCTCGATCACCAGTGTGCACACGAAGGGCCTAGTCGTGCCCCAAACTAGTACCTGCAAACCCTTAAACCCCTCCTCAACCTACCTTAAACCCATAAGCCGTGAAACCTAGAACCCTAAACCCTAAACTGGGTCCTTGCTAAGGACCATAATCGGGATCTATAGTAAGAAAGAGGGTTTCCTTATGATGGTAACTTACTTTAAACTCCTTAAACAAGAGCCCAGTAAAGGAAGTCAAAGAACCTTAAAACTCGCTTCACTTTAGGCTGCAGCAACTGGAACTGCTTGGCAAAGATCGCAGAGAGCGGGGAGCCCGGCAGTACGAGCTCTCGAGTAGGAATGAGGGTTTAGGGACTTTTGGTTCAGGGGAGTTTAGGAATTCTTCCTGGGTGGTTACCCATAGGCTCCAAAGTAGTTCCTTCTTGTGGTTTACATTTAGGACCCTATAAGGTAGTCCCAAAAAGGAACTACTTTGGAGCCTCTGGTTAAGGGGATGATTTGAGTAGATTCCGGGTCATGCCTGGAGCCCTCTGAGCAAGCACAGGTCATTTCTATCTTCTCTCAAACGGCTACCACACCAACTACACCGGCTGTGGCAACACAGTGATGCCTGGACTTTGGACGAGGGGTTGCTGGGAACTATACCCAGACCACCGGAAGAATCTAAAAAGTAGATCCCTTAAGGGGGTTCTATAAAGTACCCCTTAGTAGTATAAGGTCCCAAATTAGGGGATCTACTTTTTGGATCCTTCCGGTGGTCTGGATACCCGAAGTAACTCGTAAGCCAAGGTCTGGGGTCCAAGTACTACCTATAGCCTCCATTGTAGTTCCTTTTTGGGGTTACCTTTTAGGATCCTTAATATATAATTGGTTAAACCAAGAGAAAAGAACTACAATGGAGACTGTAGGTATACTGTGTAACTCGCTTTGGGCTGTAAGAATTTGGGTCTATACTACGGGGCCATTCGAATTGCCTCATTTTGGCTCGGAAATGTTGTGATGATCTTCATTTGGGAATATACGAGCCTTTGCACTTATTTATGGACGGCTGTTACTGTGTTTCAGAGGCATGAGAGGTCACACGTCCGGGGATGAGCACCCTAACCCAAAATCCCTAGTCTCAACGCATCGAAGCAATGCCAGTATCTTTTCATTCATTTTTCTTCTAGGTGCAATCTCTCCGTTCGTGTGTATTGCTTTGCACATGCATGTGCATGCAACATACGTGTGTGTGTGTACTTATGTGTTAGCGCTGATGTTATTCTGTATCTGTAATCCCTCTCTAAGTAATCCCTCTCTCAATATGTTCGCACGGGCTTGCAGACCGAGCGAGGTACATGAATATGTGCATGCATGTAGACATCTTGTGCGTACGGACTTGTCTATGCAGACACGATGAGGACGAAGCGCTCTACCAAGCATGAGGAGTGCGGTGAGGGCTCTTGATAAGAAATCGTCTCGCAGGAGCGAGGGTCAGGAATTTTGTTGTTCGCTGGTCGAGACTCTCAAAGAGACTTTGTTATGTGCTGACTTGTTGGGTTTGGGAGGGGGAGGCCTCCACAGAGCAAAATGTGCCTAGCATGCCGTGATAGGCCGATTTTGTGGCTTACAAGTTGAGAAAAATCGCTATCTGGAATCCAGAGTCTGGATTTGTAAATTTGTTCTAGCTTCAGGCTCAAATGTCTAAACTAGAGAATTTCTTATAGCAGTGCTACACCGTATACATGTCATTCCACTACTAATGCCACACTCCAGGTTGTTGATGCGAGTCACTGTTAGAGATCATCTGATGTTGATACGATGTCATACTGCAAGAGCCATATAACTAGCTGCAGCGTTACTTCCCAGGTGCCCGTATGCACCTACGATAGTAATGACATGCTGAGGAGCATGCGAAGATCTAGCTTTTTATGTCGCGCTATGGGTGCTCTCTCTCACTCTCTCTCTCTCTCTCTGTCTCTCTCTCTCTCTCTCTCTCTCTCTATATATATATACACACACATATATACACACACATATACACACATGTATATTGCAACTGCTAAGGCCTTGCTTGCATGCTTGCACAAACCCTACCGAAACAAATCAACTGGCGCGCGAGCTCAGGAATGCCAACAATCCTACATGTACGGAGTGGATCGTCGAATGCTTGCGCTACTGGGCGCTTGAAATGCACGTGCCTAGGCCGAGATTTCATATGAGGCCATGACAGACCCCTCACATGCCAAACGTTACCCCTCAACGCTCAAGCAAAGCCTAAACCAAACTGTCAACCCTAAACCGAACCCTAGCCGTATCCTTATTCTAGGGGTCCGCGTAATTAATCATCACATACTTTGCCTTATTTTCTGCTCTACAAGACTGCTATTTTAAGCTAAGTACCTAATTGTTAGGTCCTTTGTACCCTTGCGGTTTAGACCCACGAAGGCCCTTGTGGTAGCCCTTACAGCACGCTTATGAAGGACCCCTTACAGGAACCCTATCATTATAGAGCCCTTAAGATTAGAACCCACTCTAAAACCTAAACCCAGCCCTAAACCCTCTAGAACTCGCAAAGGCACCCTTACAGAAGTCCAAGTAGGTCGATGGCTTCCGCTTTGACTTGGCCTCCTCGCTCACCCGAGGAAGTGGACGGCTCAGTTTTCTGCCGGTGTTTTCGGGGCCGCCAAAGTTTGCCTTAGTGTTTTTGTTTACAGTGGTTTTAGGGATAAGCATTTGAGGTTTAGGATTTAAGGCTAAGGGCTCAGGGTTTAGGGATAAGTGTCCTTACGAGGACAAATACAAGTGTTCTTGTTTTTATCATGCTTGTACCTTAGTGGATGTACTATATGCTTGTACCTACGTTGTCGTGCTTGGCTCAAGTACAAAAGGATTCGTGCTTTCCGCTGTTAACTTTAGGTTATCAGCCGTAGCTTTCTAGTGCAATGGATGCCACAGCTCCCAGAAACCCTGCAGGTGTGACCGTACCCGAAGAAACTGTCGTTTCCGACATAACAGGCGATATTGACACTGAGTCGGCCCGTTCTAGATCAGTCCTGGGCACAGAGCTCCAGGTCAACACCGCCCGGGAGGGTCAGGTAGTTTTGACTGAAGCGGCGCTGCGCAGCCACACCGGCTACTCGCCTACAAGTGTGGCATCCTATCGGCCCAGTGC